CTGGCGGCCATTTTGTTTTAATGATTGGGCTTCTAGAGCCATATCTCTTAAATGCTTTGACTTATTATATTTAAATTTTATATATTCATTATACGTTATATATATACATGTAATCAAAATGGCTGATTTTGAATGCTGTTCCAGAGCAATATCTCTCAATATGGACATGTACTTGTTTGACGATCAGATACAGCTGTCAATCATTTTAATGTTAAAAAATCATATTCCTGTCATGGTTATATTCCAGCTATATTACTATAAACAAAACTATATATCTTAAATTTGATAACTAACTGGGACTGTGCCATGCATGGCTTGTTTATCTTGTACCAAGTCCTATTTCTTCCAAAAAGTCTATATAAACTACCTATTTGTTCAATTAGAAAGCACATATATGCCAAATATTGCAGATATTGTTTGTGGAGTCATTATAATATGACCTGTTTGGACTATACACTTGCATCTGTCATTTACATAAATGTGAGCACTACTAATACAGCAAATACTGCGCTCCCGAAATTCCTCGCTTGAAATAGATGTTCTAAAAATGATTTGTCTTCAGTCTGCATGTGTCAGTTAACTTAAAAGGGGCCTTTTTTCTGGTTTCTGCCAAAACATACAAAAATAAATCGCTTTACTCCATCATTGTTTTAACCTTGAAACATAAAAAATCTTAAACAATAATTTTCTGTCAATATACTGCCCTCAACGCCAACGTTTGTTTTGCTGGGTAAACTTTTGGTGAGATAGGTGGTTCTTCAGTGAAAGTGTATATTTTAAAAAACACTTAGGGGGCTCTAAGATGTTATTTTCTCCATGGATATTCACGGAATGATGGCTGCCGAACAAGGCGAAGTACGACGACGTAGTGTTCCGTCAGAATATGTTCCGTTAGTCAATGAAGATGATAGCGATAATGATGACGACGAATACGATGCGAAGCTACCGTATGGCGGCAAAGTGTATCTTGCAAGAAAGAAGAAGCCAGATACATTGTTAGTGAAAATCCTGGAGGTGAGTATAGTCTCTGGCATCCCTTGCAGATATTTATATTTAGAAAGTCATGCGACGCCAGTTTCTCATCTTCGTATCGCAAAAATGCACCTGTTTCACTGAAAGAACAAGTTTCTTGATCAATCGTTTCATAACAATAAATTTATTTTCTGGCGTTTTTATTTCATTTTATTACCCCTGTCACAGAAGATTAATAAGTCACGGTCGACTCAATTTCCCCGAAACTTCCGGAACACGACTTGCACTATGATTGGCTGCGCCTGAAAATAGAATTGTTCTTGCGTAGATTGTGTCCGTTGCTATGGAAATAAAATTCAGGGAGCATGCGCACTTTTCATTCATCTGGCATATTCATGAATAATATAGTCATAGGTCAATTTGTGTCGTATTATGTTAATTAATTCCTGTTATATTATTGTAGCATGGACACATAATTTGACTTCAGTGCACATTAAACACATGTGTGATGCATCAGTGGTTTCGTATGTAGTTTTTGAATCGCTCTGTTCCTCTGAAAAATTCTGTCTGAAAATACTAAACCTTTGTTTACGTACCGATATATACTGTTATATTTTTTGACCTGTTGATAGAAATTGTTGATCAATAATCTTTCATATTACAATCATTGTCAGCCTTTTGGATAAAACTAAACTATTACATATAATCCAAACATTTTATATGTTGGATTCTGACTTATTAAAATATGACCATACAAACCTGTTTTTAATTTAATTACTAATAGAGCAAATACAGTAGGAATATATTTGGACAATCAATTTTGAAATAGTAATTCTATGATTTAAAAAATAACACCTTTCATCACAAAAATAAATTTTGCAGGACACACAGCAGTATTCATTAGATGAAATTGATTGGGAATTTCATTGAACAACTACTTAGATGTATGCTACAAGAACAGTGTTTTCAGCTCATAATAAATCATAGTCCAATGTATCACTATACAGTTTTAACAACAATACTAAAAATCACATTTCCATATAACAAAAAACAAAATTATAGAAACTTACATAAAAATGTGTAAAATTTTGGCATCAATTAATTTTTTTCTTATTTAACCAGGAAAATCGTTTTATTCAACTGCATTGTGGAAATTCATTGTAGAAATTCTGCGATGATTGGCTTAGTGTTTATAAGTGAGGTATGGCATTCAAAAATACAATGACAATAATTTCTATAGATATGCACTTCATTTGTGTGTTAAAATGTAAGAAAGTTCTAACTCCATACACATGCAAATAATTTGAATACAATTAAATTTAACCAATGGAGTTATTATTTGGAATTAACAAAATATTTTAAATGATATGATAATTATAGTCAAATTTATTTACTGAATAAATAATTACTTTTACTGTTCCACTTGACATCACAGTATTACCAATACATCTATAATTTAATTTTCCAAGATATTGATATAATTTGCAATGACAATTTAAACAAAAATAGAGTAGAATCTTAACATATCTGTACTTCTTGACTCGTATATAGGAAATTTCGTAGTATTTTGTTTACATTGTACAAGTTATTTGTTTTGCTCCAGTGTTGCAATGGGGACCTGTATGTTCTGGTAATATCATTATTGTTTTGATAGTTTTATTTTGTAAATGTAATATTTCTGTAAGCCAATAAAGAAAAGATAACAATTGTAATTGCCATTGTGATATGGCAGGAAGATTGTGGGAACACTTATAACCATGACAAATGATTAATATCTCATTATCAACTTTTAAGAAAAATACTATACGAAAAGAGTAATTATTTTGACCGTAAGGCTGCTTGTTTTGCCTTATAAAGAGTACATGCACCATGGAGTACAAATTATAATACTTTCACTCTCTGATGTTTCTAATATTTCATGTGTGGTTTTGGTTACAGGCTTGTCTGATTGTGTTTGTGGTATTTTTTGCCTACTATGCATACTTCTATTTTGACAACCTCCATTTTCATGTCACTCATGGCTACGCCCATCTTGGTCATGCACAGGCCATGCACTTAGTAGGACAGAAGTACATGCATGGTAAAGGAGTTGACAAAGACCACAGTCAAGCAATGAAATGGTTTAGGTAAGCATCCAATTATAAACTGTACACAGTAAATTGTATGTGCCTTTGTTGCTCCCTCCCATTTTGTTAATATTTTTTATTAAATGCTTTAGCTGAATTGACATACCGGTATATGTAGCCAATTGATTAATGTGCTAATTGCCAATCAAATACCTAGACAAATGGAATAAACACAGGTGTAAAATATTGGGATATACGAGCTATGCACATTTGACCTTAAAACATTATCATGTGTTTCAATGTTGCATGAATTTAAATGTACAATGTAGTTCATATATGTAGGATTTATGATGAACCCTAAACAATGCAGATAGTTTTTATGGATTGATCTCTGTGTGTCCATGTATGGACCAATTACATTCAAACTTCACACATACATAATACATAATATTATACATATGCACATCAATTTGTTTCACGATTTGATTGAGATGACCGAATCATCAAAATCAATCATTTATGGATGGATTTTGTTCAAACTTGGTACATACATTAGACATGGAACCTTGATGCACTTCATTTTGTTTTTCAGATCAGATTTATAATGGCCAACTGGCAGCCATTTTATTTTAATGAATGCAGTTCTAGTTCTATATCTCTGCCATCCTTCGACTGATTATGTTGAAAATTTATATATTCGTTATACATCATGTCATAGATATACAGATATATCGGTTTGACTATCTGATTCAAAATGGCCAAATGGTGCTAAAAAATCTTTCAAAATCAAGCATTTATGGCATTCCAGAACTAGATCTTGATCATGTATGGATTGATTTTGTTCAAACTTGGTGCATACATGAGACATAATAGGTCATTTTATTTTTAAAATCGGACTTTGCCATGCATGCTTTTAGTCAAGTTCCTTTACATTATAGTTCCTTAGCTCAAAATTGAACGTCTCTGATTATGAATTTGATGCCAGAATTATGAGAATAACTTGCATATGTGTGGTGTTTTATTCATGAAAGAAGATTGTCTTGTAAGCAGGTTGCCTGAAATAGGCCTTTAATTAGATGTTGTAGGAAGTCTGCCAGTATGTCTAAAGTGATAGTCCATGTATCACTACATGTATCAAGTGTCTCTTAATAACATCTGGCACTTAAAAATCCATAATTGTTTTCAATAAAAATAATGAGTAGAGAAATCTAGTTTATTATGTGTTGTTGCTAGGATACCAGACATGTGTGTCTAAATACATCATTAATTGAGGGAGTAGTATATACGGTATATTCACAGGTTGTATTTCAAAGTTATATATAAAAATACAATACCTTAAAATAGACAAAGAAATATACAGCACAATTCAAGCACAAAATTATATAAGAGCTAGCCTTGGATAAGCATTGGGCTAGTCTGGCTGATATCTCTTTTGTTTTACAGCTGGTACCAAAAAAAATTGATAAGAAAATCTCATTAGCTGTTTACCTGCAATTGCAATATTCCCAACAAGCCAATGCACCTAAACACAACTATTAGTATTTTCACACAGTATGAGTTTAGGGGAAAGAATTGCATGAAATATTAAAATGATGAATCGAAAAAACATACACCTGTTAGCATTAGACTTAGCAATCCCTGCCTAGCCGGTATGGGCGATGTGTGTGATAATTATTAGTAATCTATCAATGCATAATATATTATAAAGTTTGTCCAATATGACTAACTGATGAGAAATTGATGAATTCCATTGCATTCCGGTCTGTGGTGTCTGATTTTTATTATTATTTCTTGATTCAAACAGAGCTGCAACTGATCAGGGTCACCCCCATGCCTCTCACAACCTAGCTGTAGGATACCTGCAGGGATATGAAACAGATGTCAATGGAAGAAGGTAAGATGGTTATGTCCAATATGGAATAATAATTGATTACATGGCATCAATATCTTTATGAACTTGTATCAAACAGTAATATATTTGAGAGTGTAATTATTGCTGACTAAATAATGCATAATTATGTTACAGTGAAGCCAAAGAACTATTGAAGTATGCTGCATCCAAGGGTGTGAAGGAATCCAATGATGCGTTGAGAAAACTCTGTCCTAAGGGGGAATGTTTGTGAAAAAAGGTAAGTTACTCTATGTCCTAAAGTTGCATGATGACCTCAGTGTGAATATGTGAGAAAGTGATAAAGTTGCACTCTGAGAACATTCAGAGTTAATTTTGGGTCTTTGAACTGTTATATGATATATTTAATTGTCTGATTTTGCACAAATTGTAGGAAATATGGCACTGGAGATTTTTCCTTGGTTACTTTTATTGAAATATTTCAATGCATGTTGGTTCACAAAGATTTGATTTGGTTATAATATTCAGTGTTCTTCCCAGACTTAATGTCAAGCACCATGGTAATTTAAATAACAATTCATTTAGTTTGCATAATAAATTTCCCAAGTTAATATAAATATATTATATATTAAGTTAATATATATATTGTTATTGTGAATAAAATTAATAGTAAATCTGAAATTAATTAAAGAGGAGAAAGTCTGATATATTTTATATCATTTAATCCATTGTATTTTATTCATTTTATTCGAGTGAAGTTAGATCAGCAAAAAATACTGCAGCCGTAAGTTGCATATGTTAATTCTATAAACAACCTTGTTAATGTGTTTATTTTGATTTCTTGCAGGTTCAGAATGAACACAGAAAGAAAACAATGTGTGATAATGAAGTAGAACATCTCATCTTTTGATGATTAGATTCTAATAACTACAAGTCAGATGATTGAGGGCACTGCTCCATCGCAATTCATCACAAAAAGATCACAGTCTGGCATGTAACAGTGTAATTAAGAAACAAAACATAATTTTAACATTCCTTTAATTCAAGTTTGATTTCCACTAGTGTAAACCTTGATTGTAAGATGTTGTTGAAGCCACTAAGACCACAAACTGTTTTCCCATATCATGAATCCACAACATTAATTGAGCCAGGTTCCTGTTAGTTATGTGTAGCTAAGTCACAATTCAATACATTTACATGTGATCAGTAGCAATGAAGTATTCCACACCATCAGCTTAATGAATGACACAGTGAAAGTCACAGCACCATAGTCTGATCACATGCCTGTCAGATCACTGAGGTTAACAACTTTTAAACATGTTATTTTATTCTTTGAAACACATCTTCAAAAATCATAATAATGAACTCATATACTAAGGAAAATGAAATATTCAGTTTGATTACATGTTGAGTGATCTTGTTTCTAATGATGTCTTACAGCAATATTATTGTTCCGTCCTTTCATTAAAAGTGTTTACTTACAAATGCATTCAATTTTATATTTTTCTCTTTCTATATTTACTACAATTATCTGCCTATTTGGTATGTTTACCATAACTTTGTTTTATGTATCAAGTTATTTATGTAAGTTTCGTGTTTTAAATAAACATATTTTAGTAAGTACATTTTAGATCTATAAATTAAACCAAATATTGACAGCAAACATGTTGTGATTGAGCTTAACACTGTGATTGAAAATCTAATAGTATGTACTTTTTGTTGTTGAAGTAAAAGTGGGAAATTTGATAAATTGACAAAAATAAATTACAGAGTTGTATGATAAATTGTGTCAAAAACAGCTCAAAGAAAATAAGGTAATCACTCCAGTAGCACACAAATTATCAGGGGTAGCGATGTTATATACTTTTATCTAAAAAAGTATATAAAAGTACCCATTGTGTTCCATCATGACATTATTGTTAATTCTAATTAATTTTAATTAGATAGCTTAACAATCAGCAAGTGCTTTATTTTGAATAAATGAGCGAGCCCAATTGCTATATCACATGAGGGCAAGAATGTGCATTATTAGTTCAGACTGTATTGAGCTTTTGAGCCAATCACTATTGAATGTTTGAATTTCAATGAAAGGCGTTGATCAGTCTTTAAAAATTGTTATAAACATGTTTATAATCTAAAGTACAGCTTTCTGCTTTTCACTGTAAAAATATGAAGAACTGAGCTAAAGTTATATTTTTTGAAAGGTACGGTAAATACTTTTCCAAAAATAGAAACGTAAAATTTGGTTTCCATCCGTCCATCTATGTGTTCAATTGTAAAAATGCATATACCTAATGAATGGTATATCCATCCCCTTTACATGGAAGTTTGACAGTATTGTGACTAGATGTCTACCTCCATAACATGAAGACCCCTTTTCTGCATTCATGCAACTCTACACGTATGATAATTTCAATCTATGGTATTAGTATTGCAGTTATTGACGATATCAGATACCTGCTCACTGGGAACTGCAAGTTTCTGTATTGCAGGGACTGCTCTGCAAGTAGAAGAATGCTTCTATTTTTATTTACAGAAAGTTAGTGTTATAATTAAAGCAATCTTCATCAATAAACCTGTATTATTTGTGTTGTATTTTTGTACAAATTGTGATATTAATACTTGTGTTTGTGTCATCACTTCCAGTCACTACCACTATTTGTTAGTAATTAATTCATTGATTAATAATCAAATAATGGGTTATATAATTTGATGCTAACCTTTGATCTGGGGTGAACCTTGCGACTCGATGCATGGCGGGATCCCACAGATTTAATAAGCTCTCGGACATACAGGTTGTGAATTTGAAAGCTGCATAAGTAATCTTTATCATGCATGTTAGTGTCACCTGAATGTTTGCTTCACTGAACTGTGGCAGCATATGCTCCAGCGCTGTGTGAATCATACAAGCAAGTATACTCTCTCTCGATATCAAATATGATCAGCATCAAGTCATTGTTTAGCCTACTATAATGTGTCACAGACTATGCATCGATTAGTATTTCTCCTTTTGTCAAAGAGACCTTGTCTAGGAGTATGTAGGCCCTATATTCTTGGAAGGCAGTAACCAGTGTTTAATGGCACAGAATGATATGCTCTAAATCATCACCAGTTGGCGTCCCTGCTGTGTCTACGTCTGCACCTAGCTATGTAAACTTGGCCAAGTCAGCCTTCTATGATCACTTTATATCGCTACTGGAACCAGCTGTTAAAAGTCAACTTCCAGGAAGCTGCAGCAGAGTGACAGTGACAGCATTGTTGCTTTATGCTAGTGTTTGGTGATTTCCAAGCTACCAGACCCCCTTGATGAAAATATTTCACAATGTAATTCATTGTTCAACCCAAAGAGACAGCAAATCAACTGAAATATCATTTCTTACTTCAAAGCAATTACCATGGTCAGTGCATTTCATTGATACTGTGAATGCAAAGCAGCAAGTATTGAAGGGTGGTGTGTGAGGTACCATGAAATACATGCATTACATCTGGAACTGATAATTCTGAGAAATCGCACCTGTTTATTCATCAGTTGGTTGGGAAAAGAAACTGAAATGTTATGTGTCCACCACCAGGCACTGACCACTTGAATGTTCAAGTGCCCCCCTTCAGTGGTTCAGTATATGGTTTATCAGTACATCCATTCTGTAATATGGATTTCATGGATGACTATGTACAAGTCATGACTACTGATCTGAATTCATACAATTCAAAGAAACTACTACTGAATTATATAACTATTTTGCGAAAGAGAGAGTTTTAGTATCAAAACTGTTTTTTTTTCAAGGGTGGTT